CTATCTATCTATCTATCTATCTATCTATCTATCTATCTATCTATCTACCTATCTACCTACCTACCTACCTATATGGCCATGTAGCAGCTTTAATGATAAACACTGTGTCAGATACTGCCCACACATGGTTACCTGGGTCTTCAAGATTCCTTTCAGGTATGAATGACCCATTAACCCTAAACCCAAGGTCGCAGAAGGTAAGGGGCAGAATCATTTGACACAAGTCTTTGTTACTGCAGTGCAAGTATATGCATACTCTATCTCAAACAGAGCAATAGCTTTTCAGGACAGTAGGGCTATTTTATTAACTTCTCAGGCCTCCATGTCACTGCCTTATCCCTCTGGCCTGAAGAATCCTCCATACTCTCCTGCAAGCTATGATTTAATCTCCCTTATTTTCTTGCAAAAGATCCTCAAATTGCCACCTGTACACATCATCTTTCTACAGTTTTACAAATGTACACTGAATAAATGAATGCATGAATGAGTAGATCCTTAAGAAATACTTAAATAAAAGGGATAATTCTCATTAGCCTTGGTCGTCTGAAAAATGCCCTTATGCATGTGGTTAGGGTTTTTTGTTTCTTTCTTTCTTTTACTCTTCTAAGATCAAATGATTCGAATTATCATGAGTGTGAGTTTGCCAACTCAGTAGATACCATGTGCAAATCCTGGAGGCTGCCTACAAGGAGACAACACTGCCTTAGCCAAGTTATTTATGATGTAATCAAAATGATCATACAGTAGTTTTCCAACCTTTCCAGTATTCCCATGATGAGGTACTAGAAAACAGAAGATGCAGCGGGAGACTGGCAGTCATAAATCCATAGTCTCTGTTTATAGTTAGCATTTTCTTGAGCTATTAAAAGAATGAGTTCTAGAGTCCAAAAACTGGACATATGTCAAAATTCTATATACTTCCTCTGGCTGAAGTCCCTATGTCCCATATGTCCTAGTTATATATTACAAAAAGAGACTGCAGAGTCAGGAATGACCTTCTGGTGTGAACAGTCCAATTCCGGGGGCTGCTTAGGGTGTAGAATCTGAGTTTACAACTTTTTGGGCCTCTACTCTTAGTCACACTAGCCTCTTAGATTCTTACGGTTTGAATCTGAGGTGTAACCCAGTCTCATGGTTTGCACACCCTCCAGGGCACTTGGCCTAGTCTTAACTCAACCTGCCTCGGAGAACCAACCGCCTCCTCGGTTTTCTTCTCCTGCTCAGGCTCGCCTCTGTCAGTCTATCCTTATTTTACCAACTTTGCTGTTAATCGCTTTTCTAGATCAGTTAATGTCAGCTGAGGTAGGCTTCAGAGGGTGTGAAGCAAGCTCAGGGTCAGACAAGATGGATTAGTCTCTGCTTATACCTGCAACCTGTCTGCAGAATGGCTGGCTGTACTACAGGATGACTTTTAAGATGCCTGTTTCATGGATGAGAGTTACGTAACATACAGATGATCTATATCCACTTGCTTTCTGTGTTATTTTCTGTGTTAAAATAGGAATCGTCTGTATGCCAGTGTTTTGTTTGGATTTTCTCATGTCCATGGGGCTTTCTTTTTACATACTTCTTGGTAGGATTATCAAATATTGTAATTATAACCAAGTTAGTGCTGGGGCTTTCTCAAGAATTTAAGTTTGGCCAGGTATGATGGTGCAAACCTTTCATCTCAGCACTGTCTGGAAGGCAAAAACAAGAGGATTGTCTCAAGTGCATGGTCAGCCTGGTCCACAGGCCACAAGGGATACACAGTGAGACCTTGTCTCAAAAATAAGACACTCTATGTTCATCTTTAGCTATATCATTCTGCTTCTTAAGTGGCATATTTGCATAAAAGTAAGTACCATATTTTGCACTGCTTTTCATTAAACTTTAATTTATTAATATGTAAGTTATATGTATATATATAAATAACATATATATATGATATATATATATCTTATAAGGTAGACTGATATTTCAGGGCTGGTTTTAATAACTGCAATGAATCCTATACTCATAACAAACAATCTAGTTTGCATCATTTTACAGGTGAGGAGATAAAGCTTACCCCCCCCCCTTTATTTTCCTTGTGCCCTCTCTAAGAACTCTTTTTTTTTTTTTCTAAATTTTATTTATTTAATCACTTTACAGCCTGATTCCAGCTCCTCCCTCCTGTCCTCCCAGTCTGGTCCTCATGACTCCTTCCTCCATTTTCTCCTCTTCTTCTCAGAGAAGGGGAGGCACCCTGGCACATTAAGTCACAGCAGGACAAAGCCATTGAGGCCAGACAAGGCAGCCCAGCTGGGTGACAGGGATCCAGAGGCAGGCAGGAGTCAGAGACAAGCCCTACTCCTGTTGTTTGGGGACCCACATGATGACCACGCTGCTCATCTGTACATGTGTGTGGAGGGTCTAGGTCAGGCACATGCAAGCTTTCATGTTGTTGGTTCAGTCTCTGAAGCCTATCTTTTTAACTTACATACTCCCTAAGTACTCTTTCTCTCTGCCTAAGCCATCAACTTTCCTCAAATCTACCCTGTACACACATGAAAATATCATGTTGTACTGGGCATGGTGGTTTACACCATTAATCCCAGCACTTGGAAGGTGCTGGGGTTAAATATATATGTATATATTATAATTTCACTGATTGTTGAGATGCTGGGATTTCAGTGTCTCACCTGTGTCAAATCCGCTCTTCCGCTGGTTTACACTAACTTCTCACCAGATCTCCAGCATCTGTTTTCCTTCCTCCTACCCTCAGGCTCTGACACTTCTCACTTCCTGTAAACACACAGTGCTATACTTTTGTAGGGCCAAACCGTCCCAGGGCAAAAGACGCTAAGCCATTCTGGAGTCTTTAGGTAAAATTTATAGAACAGAATCAAGACAGCAGAGTGAAGGGGCCAGAAGCCAGGTTACAGCAAATTCTGTAGCCTTCCTCGGTGCTGATTGTCCTTTCTACAAAGCTCCTTAAATCAAGGCCTTGTCGCTCACCAACCTTCCACCACAGCCAGATTCTGTTCTGTGCTTCCACAAGCCCTCAGATAGTACTCTGAAATCACACACTTCCAAGAAGAGTTTCCTACAAGTGTATGCAAAACTGTGTTCTTTTATAACCCATTAATATTATAAGTGCTTCTTCAGATGTGTCATTATTTGTATATCTTTGCTGGATTTTAATGATAATTATAATAATTCCAATGAAACCAGGAATTGTGTGCCTATTTTCAGGTTTCTGTGCCTCCAGCCCAGCATGGAATATGATTAGTAAGTTATTGTCCTGTGGATAGTCTTAAGCTGAGTGCCCACTGCATACTAAGCAAGGAACTACTGAGGGATGAGAAACCTGTTTCAGAATTTTCCTTGGCAAATGAACATTGACCATGAAGCATGTATAGATACCAAATGAATACAAGATGATATGATGATATTTCCTTATCTATCTATCTATCTATCTATCTATCTATCTATCTATCTATCATCTATCTACTATCTGCAACAGCTCTGGCTATTCTGGAGCTCACTATGTAAATCAGGCTGGCCTCAAACTCACAGAGATCTATCTGCCTTCCAAGTGCTGGGAGTAGAGGTGTTTATCGCCATGCCCAATACAAGATGGTATTTTCACGTGTATACAGTATTGATTTGAGGAAAGTTGATGACTGAGGCAGGAAGGGACGGTACTGCGGGAATATGTACGGTAAAGGAACAGGCTTGATTTCCTCACCTGTAAAATGAGGCATGATGGCTTGCTACGAGTATAGGATTCACTGCAGTTCTGGAAGCCTTGTAATATAAGACTCAACCCTCGCTTTTTCCACGGTGTACGAGAGAAGTAAGAAGTGTAGGTGGGAGAATACACCTACTGTGTTTTCCTGTTTGTAGTGATGCATTAGGTGAGACGCGGAGCATTCCCTTTATGAGTAAGCTCACCATGGAGACAGCAAACACACTACCCCCAGCTACCCAGCATCTCCATCTGCTGCTGAGCTCATCAGCCCAAGATGCTGAGTACTTGTTCTGGAAACCAACAAGCAAAATACCATGATTAAATAAACGATACCTTATCTTTATTAAATAAAAGCAAATCATCTCCATAAACAGTTACTTGTCTGCTCAAGGAGTGCCTTTCCTCCTCTCCTTGTGACAAAGTACAAGCTTAGCAGTGCTTCCGAATGCCCTGTGGCAACTTGAGGTCAACTTGGTGAGACCCACAGCTCCCATTTGGTCCTGCCACGGCACGCGTGCTGGGAAGACAAACCATTCCCATTCACAAAGACTCAGAAGAGGAGCGACCATTGTTAGCTGAAACACACTGTGCCTTCCTTGAATCTCCTTTAACAATTAAACCAGCTGCTGCTCTTCAACACATGTGTCACTTTCTTTGCATTTGGGTCAAACTCCATCTGTGAAGATCCACTGAAGAAATAGAAAAAGCCTGCGTGGAAAGACAAGAGGAAATATGAGCTACTTTCTTCAAGTAGAAACCTGGAAAGATAAAACACTCAGCACGAGTTCAGTGGAAAGCAGAAAGAATCAGGGATACGACTGGGTGGTAGGACATTTGAACAGAGTGTTCAAAGTCCTGGGTTCAAACCCTTGCTTACCTGAGAAAACGGCAGCAGCAACAAAAAGCAAGTGTCTCTGTCCATTTATTACTCTATGCCAGGGACAAGGTCAAGCACTTAACAAAACTACTATTTTAAAAAATTGGGTTTTGGGCAAGAGCTCTGTTAAGTAAGTTTCATTTCATCTTTCCGATGAGTGAGTTGAAAGTTTAGGCAGATGAAAATATTTGCCTTAGTGTACTCGGCAGGGAGGAAAGGAGACAGCTCTGCATTTCTGCTTTCAATCAGGAAAAAAAAAAAAGCCCTTCTTGTCTAAAACTATGATTTATTTCCTTTCTTCCCAACCCTCTTCCTCCCCTTTGCCATCTTCTAGCCCAAGGGCTATTTCTGGCCCTAGGGAGACACAGTGACATTCAATCACCACACTGTCTCATCTCTTGCTCTGCAGACGTGGCTCTCAGTGGCAGTAAAGGTCTAGTTTTTATCCGCTTACTCTTTTATGGGAATAAAGTCTTTTAAGCTTTAGTGCATGGAAAGTGAGTATCTGCAAGGAACCAATGTTGGCAGCCGTTAACTGAGTCAGGAAAGTCTGAGGTTGAATAGTGGAAACAGATGGGATCAAAAAGGCCAGGTCACCAGCCCCATTGCTGAGGGGAGGTTATTTTGGTTGTGGTGGTTTTGTTTTCTGTATTTTTGTTGTTGTTGTTGTTGTTTTTGTTTTTTCAGACAGAGTTTCTCTGTGTAACAGGCCTGGCTTTCCCAGACTCGACTTGTAGACCAGGCTGGCCTTGAACTCACACAGATCTGCCTGCCTCTGCCTCCTGAGTGCTGGGATTAAATGGGTGTGCCACCATGCCTGGCAAGGGAAGTTTTGTGATAACGCAGATGGAGAAAGGCTCACAGTGTAAGAAAGTGATGTACCAGCACTTTGCACAAGGTCTGCGTAAGGTGGGAGAGTTTTCGTTAATCCCCTTCAGGAGGCAAAACAGCGCACCTGAAGGAAAACTGTCACTGCCACAGAAGCAAGAGTTGACGTTCTCAGGAGGGAGTAGAGTAGTGATTTAAAAAAACAAACAAGCTGGTATTAAAAGTTATTTCATTCTCTTCTCCCTCTCATACTGCAGAGCATCTCAAGGGCCCCTTCGCCAGCAGAGTAAGCATCCTCTCACCAAATGCTTCAAAGACAGCGTCCACCTTTGAGTCTACGCCTGGAAAGTCCTCAGCTATCTTCCTGGGGAATCCTGGCTCCATGGACTGTTTCTTTTCATCAAACCTGCACAAAGGGAAAGAAGGGCAGCTCAGCAGGACACAGAGGGCATGCTCCCCGGACTGTGAGCCATGTGGAATTCTAGTAGCTTTTCCAAGCTCTGCACATAAATGTCAAGCTTATTTAGTGCCATGTGTTTCTAATAAGGTAAAACAGCCCTTAAAACCATAGCTGCTTCAGGGAACAGGGCCCGCGATGCTGTTTGTTACTGTTTTTCTTAAGCCTTTATCTTTCTTTATCTTCTTTCAGCCACAAGGGCATGATCACGTTAATATACAGCCCTGTATGCATATAAATGCACACACACGTGTGGACTGAGCCACAGATCAGAAGTACAGTTTCTATGGCTAGAGATGCCTTAATGGCCAAGAGCACGTTTGCTGTCCTTTCCCGTGACGAGAGTTCCTCTCCACATACAAACTTAGGTGGCTTACGGCCGCCTATCACTCCAGTGTCAGGATCTGCTGGATCCAGTGTCAGGATCTTCCAGCCTCTGTGGGCATCTGCATGCGCACACACGTACTCTCACACAGAAATAGCCTCACAAATAGACATGGACCACTTGGGGCTGGAGTGAGGGCCCGGTTGATTAGAACACTATCTGCTTTTACAAAGGCCCCAGGTTAGGTCCCCAGCATCACACTGTGGCTCCCAACCCTCTCTAGCTCTAAGTCCAGAGGAATTCTATGCAGACTTCTTCCTCAAAGGGCACTGTAAGCATGTAAGCTTTGACGTGCACACACACGTACATGCGCACACACACACACTACTTATACACACAAAACAAAACAAATTTGAAAAATGAAAAAAGTATATACTTTCCATTTCGCCACCATAAGTAGGCTCTCTATATCTTCTTTCCCCATCCTGCACATTGAAGTTTTTTTTTATTAAAACAAAACAAAACTCCCTAGAAAAGGGGCTGGATGACAAGCAAGTGAGTGAGCAAACAAGTGTGGTTCGACCCAAGGGCTGCACACTTCACGGTCTGCCTTGATATCTCAACATCTGAATAATGGCCTAGGAATCAGAAAGCCTGGGAGGGGTCCTGAGCGGAAACCATGAAATGGGTCTGCTGTGGTGTGTCACCTCTAACCAGGCTGCGGTCAGCAAGGTGTGAGCTCAGCTGACGTCCTTTAGAAGACAAGAGCCATGCTCGGGAGACCATGGGACGTCTTGGGCACTTGAGACTTGCGTTCTCAAGGAGGAAGTAATGGCCAGTTCAGAAAGAAAGTGGAGGCACTTAAGCTGGGCGTGAGGTGGATTGCAGGACTGAACAAGGAGGGGAGAGAAGAGGGCCTCTCAGCAGGTGGGGGGGAGGAACCACTACCCTACGGCAGGGGGGGGGGGGGGGGCAAGGGATGGAGATGGACAGGAGGTGGGAGGTATGGGGAGAGGACGGTCCTGGGGAAGCATGGGGGCCCTGCACAGAAACATTTAAGAAATCCCCTTTGGAAGATGCTGCTGCATTTTCAAAGCCCTTCCCACAGTTGCCCAAAGCACCTTACTTGCCCAGAGACGGGCGTGAGGAGAAGGGTGAGTTGTTCAGAGAGACCCTAACCTCCCCAAGAGAGGGGCCTGAGGACAAGAGTGAGGTGGAAGGGTTTCCTAAGAGGAAGAAGGCAGTCCTCTAGTTGGTCTCTAAACTAAAGCATCCTCGCCGCATCTCACCTCCAGTATCTGTCCTCTACGAAAAAGTACGTCTTCTTTTTCTCCTTATCAGAAATGGCGGCATCGATCTTCCTGACGCTTGCAGGGAAACCCAGGGTGTGGATGCTTTTAGGATAACCAGCTTGCTCCTCGTGCCCTCGTATAGCCCAGAACTGACTTCCTACACGGAAGCAAGACAACAACGGAAGCACCGGTCACGTTAAAAGCCCAGCATGCCTTGTAATTCTGGAAACACATTCTTAGCGCCATCCTTTTTCGTGGTGGAGAGCAAATCCGAGTTTTGGATTTAGGCCTTAGCTCTATGGTGAGCATGCAGCAAAATAATCAGATGGACTGAACGATCGAAGGTCAAAAAAGGGAATCCTCAACTCAGACAAGGTCTCTCCCTGAGCTCATGTTTTATCTGTAAATCATAACCAACATACTGGTTTTTAGTTATTTCTTTATTATCTATGTCTATTTTTTATTTACAGAGAATTTGATATAATGGAGAAAAGTAAAGCCCTATTCATTTTTCCTGCTAGAAGGCTTGTTTCACTGAGTTAAAGCAATATTGTAGAATAATTACCTTTAAAAATGAAAACAGTATCTCTGTAGGTAATTTCATAGGCAGCATCCACGTTGGAAGGGAGGGACGGCCAGAACAAGGAGATCAAGTGAAAGCCAGGCTCAGGGGTCCTGAGAGACTTGCGCCAAAAGTGCCTAAAAATAGATGTTTAAAACAGTGACAATTGCAAAACAGCCTTTCATATTTAGCGTGCTGTCTCTCCCACCCCAATTCACCCATAATTTCTTCATTCTCTCATCCTCTGGATTGGGTGTGCAAATATAGAAATATTGTTACTGGGAAAATAGCTCTCTCTTTCTCTCTGTGTGTGTCTCTCTATGTGCATATGTGTGTCTGTCCGTCTCCAGCCCCCTCTCAAAAGAAGACTGCAACAGACCTCCTGTCATAGATTTCCAGAGCAACATTTGTGAAATATTTCCACTGTGTCAATTAATTTCTTCAGCATAAGCTTTAACTGCATGTAATACATGTGAGACAGTATGTAATCAAAGTATCACCCATACTTTCTAAAAATATGGAAGGTGAGTGAATGTGTGTGTGCAAGAATATATATATTCTTGTATAGTAACAGAAAAATCTAGAAGGATGCACAGGAGGTCTTGGAGTAAGGTGTGGTGTCACATGCCTGTGGTTCTAGTACTTGGAAAAGAGTGTGACAATTTCCATGCCATTCTGTGCATCTTAGAAAGACCCTGCCTCTCAGAATATCTACTGTTTATGTATAAAGAGATCTGGGAAGGAAAACTTCTAAACTCTCTTTCATGTAGAATGAATATTTTCTCATGGACATACCCATCCTGCAGTAAATGGGTTAACTGATAAAATGTGGTGCTTCTCCAAGTATCATTTTGAAAGACTGTAAAGAGAACATTCTGACTCTAAAGACCACTTCTACCCTCTAAGAAGTAGCCCTGACCAGAAAGAACATTCAGAAACAAAACCCTAGTGACAAGAATCAAATCATCTGGCCCTCAGAAAGGAACATGACGATTTTAGGAACATATGGAAAGGTCAATGACAGATCCAAAAGATTCCAAGCTCCAGAGTTTTCTTTTTTAATGTTTAAAGATATCTATCAATTTCCTGTTTTTCTTAGAAAGGACATTTTTTTTTTCATCAAAAATAGATAGTGATTTAGGACTCTTTGGTCTGACCTGTCTTTGAAAAACAAGATTTCTCCTCGCAAGGTGCTGACTGCATCAAAGGACAAAGCAGGACTGCACATCAGCGATGTCTCGGGTTCCAGGGAGTTAGATTCAGTGGGTACAACAGGGACATCAGGGGATCCCGGGGGAGGTCCTAAAGGGAACATATTAGAGAAGGCAACATTAGGAGAAACATGGCCTGCCTGTCAATTCCATGCTTCCCAAACACCCTCAAGAACTCTGAATTTAACAATGAATATTTATGTGGGCAAAGTCACAAGGACTTTTCTTTTCAGTTTCACCCACCGTAGAGGGACTGAATCCCATCCACATCATCCTGAGAGAGACGAAAGCTAGCCAGGTCTGTAGAGGACTTGTAGACTGGGTACATTAAAGCTTCAGCCTTGGTTGAGTGAAACAAACCCAGGGAGTGGCCAAGTTCATGAGCAGCAACCAGGAATAGGTTGGTTCCTATTGAAGAAATCATAAGTAATAGTTTCTTATTCTTTAACTCTATATCTATCTATCTATCTATCTATCTATCTATCTATCTATCTATCTATCTATCTACCTACCTACCTATAAATAACACAAGCCAGCTGGGTATGGCATTTATTTACTTCCTGGAAACACAGAGGCTTTTAGAAAAGAACAGGCTTCTAAGAGATAACAGCAAAACATGACAAGATAATAACAAAATAAAACAAAAGCATCACATCGAAGTTGGGCAAGTCAAACATTTAGCGATGCATTTTTATGTTGCACTTATTAGGAAAACAAACAGTGTCTAAGCATCTGAAAATACAACTGGCAATGATTAAAACGGAAAAGTATTCCGATGGAATCCAGAACACATTTGCCACTAGTACTGCTGATTATGACGATTCCCCTAGATACGAAATGAAATGGAGCTAACGTGTGCTGTGAGCCGTAGCACTAACCTGTGGTATCATCTGTCCATTGTTCATCATCATCAAAGTGAGCATCTCCGTTAATCCCCAGTCCAGGTGCATAGGCATGAGCCAAAACTGTGCCAGGCCCATCAAAAGGGACAAAGTCTCCATGTTCTGAGGGGGAAAAGTATATATCAAACTGTAACAATTGGTAATTAGGATCTCTTTGTAACATTTTCAGTAACATACCGCCTGGCTATGTGTATTTCGGGCAGTCCCTGTGCTTTTACCTCCAACCACAAAGGAGATCATTATGTCAGCCTCTCCTTCAGAGATCCTGGAGAACGTCAGCGGGGTCACCCCCTCCCACACTTTCAAGGCTTTCTCAATGGCAGAGTCCACACTCTCTCTCAGTAAGTCCGGTGTGTAGTTCACAATCCTGGGTGGGAGAAAATGAAGAAGGGACTGTTTGCTTCTGTGACGCCACGGACACGCTTTCAGCACCGTGTGAAAACACTGGACCCTTTACCTGTAGGTGATGTGGTTTTTCCTCCACTTTGGTGAGCCTGGAAAGGTACTGAAGCCACCAACGTCGGGAACCCCACACCTGGGCCTACTCATCACATCCATAGTGTCGGAGTCTAGCTTCCCTGTCACCTTCAGCCCGAGGAACTTCTGCATTTCTTGGATTTTTTTGACAACAGGACTAGTGTCCTTTCTCTTAACAAACTGCTTCACATCTTTTTCAAGACCATAGTAGTTTTGTAGGTATTTCTGATAGAATAAATACAACTTTTAAGTCACAATTATGATTTTAAGCTATTGTTATTTTTAGTAAACTCTAGTCACACACCTTCTTTACTTTATTCATTCATTCGTTTGTTCATTCATTCATTCATTCAGACAGGATCTCATTTTCCAGCCGAGAAACTCCTTGAACTCATGACCTGTCTGTGTCTGCCTTCTGAGCACTGGGATTTCAGGTTCAAACCACCAAGCCTGACAGTAACTTACTTTTCTTAGTCTCTTTGACCTATTTCTCTAGTTGGCTGAAATCCTAAGTATAATACTTCATTGTCATTACAGACCCCTTATTTTTGAAACCCCTATGTTTTTGAAACACAATGAGCTCACAGTTTGGTTTGCCATTAAAGCAGCAAAAGCAAGGGAAAAATTCACAAGTATTTAGTGCAAAGAAAAACAAAATGAAGAAAGAAACATTTGTATGAATATTGTGCCTGTTTGGGGTAATTTTATTTAATTTCCCTAATTTTCTACTTTTTATAAGAATTTGGCTTATTAGAGAAAAAACTATGCAAGCCTCTCATGTACAAACACTACAAATATTTTATTAAATTATACCAGACTCAAATTCTGAAGGATGGCCTAAAGCAAGGCACAGTTCATGTGCTCTTCCCTTGTGGCTCGTGAACTTCTGGCACCGTTGTTGTTCTACTGCTGTGTGACCTTGAAAAAAAATCACCCAATATTCATGGCCTTTGTTTCTTCTTACACAGAGGAAGAATCATGCAGTATTGAGACTCTGTAACTTCTAACTGTCCTCCATTCCAGAACCACTCCTACACAGGCAGTCAGAATCTGTCTGTGGAAGGCAAAGCCGTGCCCTGCCGATGAGCCTAGAGGCCATTTTACTGCTTACCTGAAGAAGCTCCATGCCATTGTCTTCATCCCTCGCACTTCCACGCAAGGGAGAAGATGAGCACACCGCTACACACAGCCACAGCAGGACCGGGATACTCTCCATTTCCACTGGCTTTCCTCAGCTCTGTGCTGCCTTCACTGTGTGTTCTGCCTCCTTCTAGGTCAACTTTCCTGAGCCCAACTTTTATAGAGCGACAGTGTTGGTAGCGATCACCCGCAAACTGACTCATAATTGCTTCCATCCAAATGGGACCGTTTCCAAAAGCCAAAACTCAAAGTAGGGTGATACAATCTTCTTTATTAAGTTCTCTGAACCTTCTTAATTTTGCAAGGCAAATGGTGATTAATCTCCAGGAAATACTTCCTGCCTTTCAAGAAAGAAAACTGGGGCCTTTTTCTTTTTCACTTTGGAAAACTTAACTATACATCAGAACTTGTAATTTTGTGTCTTGGAAACAAGTGGACTAACTTGGTAAAAAACAAAAAAAAACCCAAGTTGTGCAGAGAACTTCTCAAAGCCATAGCTGAATACAGTAAGATGTGGTTAAGGAAACTGCGTGCCTATATAGCTACAGCCCACACTATACGTCACCACAGCCCTTATTCTGTATCCCATTTATTCAAGATGATGGAACCATGACAGCTCTCCAATGAAGAGTCAGAACTGAAATGATTTACCAAGCTAAATTGTCCTGGTTTCATCTTATATGCTTTTCTTTTTGTCGGTATTTTTCTCTTGTCCTTAGAATCAAATTAGTAGATGATCTGAAGTTGAACGAATCACCTGAGATTCTTCGCTTATGCTTTTCTTTAATTTGCAAATTAAAAATGTCTTCTCCCCCTTCTCCATTCTCTCCTTCCCTCCATTTGTCTCATCTCTTTTCCTCTTTCTTCTTTGTCCCCTCTCATCTTCTCCCTTCTTTGCCTTTTCTTTTCAAATAGTGCCACTCAGATTATTGGTGTGTAATTATGACTTCAGCGAAGATCTTAGACATTTTTATAGAAGTTTTTGTTCAACTTACTTACTCTTGTCCCCTTTCCTGCTCCCCTCCCCAGTTTTCCCCATCACCACACACTGCTTGGTTCTATTTGTTTGTCAGTGGATCATCTGCTTGCTGAAGAGCACACTGTGATGGAGATGAGAATCAGATCATGGTGAACCACATAGTGTGTGTGCCCGTATAGGTGTCTGTCAGTGTAGGTTTCACAGCCTCCCTCCCTTTGCACCTCTTTCACATTTCCTTTTTGTGTGATTTAATTTTTCAGTAGGAAAGATGTCTAAAGATCACATGGGGTTGTTCTTCTGTGAATTAGATCTCCAGTACTGGAGATGCAAAATAGACACCTGACAGAGCCAATTGGCAAGAGAACACAGATCGCTTCTCAGGAAAGCATCTGTTTCCACTCCGAGTTCTCTTTAAAGGGCGCTCAGAATCAGTGTTCTGTAATTCTCTATTCCACAGATGAAGCAAATCTGTTTTTTGGCTTGACATAAGAAAGAGGGAAATATTTGTTTATGCTGATTTGAGAAAAGGGTCGGGGTCAGTGGCAGATCCTAAGGGGACACGAAATCAGGAAAGGGCAGAGCCAAGCACATACAAAGGCAGGAGAGTCAAGGTAGTCGCAATTCCTTCTAGGTGAAAGGTTTGTCTTCATTTTTTTTTTCTCTGAACATTTCACTAAGATATATTTTAGTGTATTTAAAGATACATGCTTATATTTCCAATTGTTTAGATGTGATTGGCAAAATGGCTATGTTGTTCTCGAAATTAAAAAAAAAAAACCTGGCAATATATAACAGCACTTGTTATCTTCACAAACATCTTGAGATTTCCCTGAGAAATCTTTTCAGGTACCAGCTATCATTCCTCATTTCTCAATGTCACTGGTATCAGCTTCTGTTAGTGCATTTTAAATCAACTGTGGTGCAATGGCTTATGTACATATCACCCAAAATTTACACCGAGTTTCTTTAGTCATCTGATTCAGTGTTCAATACTTAGCACAGCACTTGGAATAAAGTACACACTTAAACTATTGTATTAATGTATTAATCAGAAGTGGAAGACACATAGCAATGCAAAAATTTAGAATTCATGGAGATAATTATGAATTCTCGGGTTCTATAAATACTCTAGCAACCAATTTTTAAATTTTCTACAGATTACTTAATTTATTTATTGTGTGCCCTTCCTTATGTTCACTTAGGTACTTCTGGAGGTTTGCATCATGGCATATGTGCAGAGGTCCTTTCACCATGTGGATCCCCAGGATCAAACTCAAGCCAGGGGGCTTAGCTGTAAGCATCTTTATCCACCAAGCCATCTCACTGACCCTCAGGAAAAGTTTAAGCTTTCACCTCAAGTTCTTCTATTGAAAGGGCAAATTGAATGTGTATGCCTGAGTGCCTTCTGACTACTCAAACTAAAATCATAGATCAGGCAGGGAGGGAGGAAAGCGAGGAAAAGGGAGTGAACAGAAGGGACAGAGGAAGAATGGAAAGAGAGAAGGGAATCAGTGTTTTACATGTAGAGGAATATGAACACAACGGAAAATGTGTGTTTCTAACGCAGAAACGGGGGTGATGGCCCCACAAGGCAACCACTTGCTACATGGTTTAACATGTTCAAGGATCTGATAGTGACTAGTCTTATAATTCTAGTCTCTGAGTGGTCAGAGATCTGGAGCTAAATTCAGTCTGATCCAAACTTCTCTGCAGAGGTTGCAGCTGGACCAAACAACACCTAATCTAATAAATCTTCAGTTCCTCTTCCTGTTGGTCAGACTCCTTCTGGACTAATCAGGTATGAGAGAGCATAAGCCTGGCTCTGTGCTGAAGATAAAAATCACTGAGCTAGTTGATCAAGTATCCGAATCTGAAGTGCTTCAGAACACCCACACTAAGAGTTCACATTGGTTGATAAAAAATTTAAAAGAAATTTAGGGGAAGAGGGAAAACAAAATAATTTAAGTTTTTAAAACTTTTTATTGATTATTTCTGAATTTTACATCATGCACCACAATCCCACTGATTTTCCCAACCTTCCATATCTTTTCCCTGCCCTTGCAACCTTCACTCCCAGAAAAAAAAAAAAAAAAAAAAAAAAAAAAAAAAAAAAAAAAAAAAAAACAAAGAAGAAAAAAAGACATAAAAAAATACAAATTAAAAAAAAAAAAAAACATCTTACAGTAGAAGCTGCAGGATATCACAGTGTGTCTCTTTTGTCCACAGATCTTTACTTGCAAATGTTCATTGCAGTGAGTCATGAGTCTGGTTCGAGGCTCTAGCTTCTGCTCTACCATCAGTTCTGGCTCCTCCTCACCAGGACTCCTCTCGGACATCCTGTTGCTGGCCTCTGTCATGGATACCCTGCTTTGGTTTTATAGGAGCAGCCCCTTTACAGGCTTCAGCAGTTAATAGACAGGGTATGTGGGGGTGGGACAACTTAGAGCCCTGGATCTGGACGACGTGGTGGCTGTGCTGCTCAGCCTGCCAGCTCTCCTTCGCCAGCACCACCAGGAGCATCTCTCTCGCTATGCCCAGGTGAGGGGCAGGGACAGCTCTCCAGCTCTGCCCTAGGTAGGCGTGGGACCGCCTCTAAGAATTTAAATTTTTAAATGGAAGATAAAGAATGAAGAAGGAAAGAAATGAAAGAGTGATAAAAATAGGCTGTAATCCAGAGGTTGCTCCTTATGCAATAGCTCTGTAAGAAATCCCAGAAGGAGAAAGACAAACATGGTATATACTCACTTATATAGACCTACAAGATATGATAAACATAATGAAATCTATACACCTAAAGAAGATAAACAAGAAAGCGGACATGGGGTAAGATGATCAATCCTCACTTAGAAAGACAAATGGGATGTGCATTGGACGTAAGACAAGAGTCTACCGCAGAAGGCATCTGAAAGACTCTACGTAGCAGTGTTTCAAAGCAGATACTGAGACTCATAACCGAACCTTCGGCAGAAGGGGAGTTAGTATGATGTGGAAAGGAGCTCCACAAGGACCAAATATATCTGGGCACAGGGGTCTTTTCTGAGACTGACACTCCACCAAGGACCATGTATGGATATAACCTAGAAACTCTGCTCTGATGAAACCCGTGGTAGCTCAGTAACCAATTGATTTCCCATAGTAAGGGAAACAGGGACTATTTCTGACAGGAACTCAATGGCAGGCTCTTTGACTCCCCACCCCCCAAGGGAGGAGCAGCCCTGCTAGGCCACAGAGGAGGACTTTGTAGCCAGTCCTGAAGATACCTGATAAAACAGGATCAGATGAAAGGGGAGGAGGTCCTCCCCTATCAGTGGACTTGGAAAGGGGCAGGGAGAAGATGAGGGAGGGAGGGTGGGATTGAGAGAGAATAAGGGAGCGGGATACAGCTGGGATAGAGTTAATAAAATGTAACTAATAATAAAAAAATAAAATTTAATTAAAAAAAGAAATAAGATAAGAACTAGGAGTCAAAAAGAACATGTTTAAAATAGATAAAAAGGGGATGGAGAGATGGCTCAGTGGTTAAGAGCACTGGCTGCTCTTCCTAAAGACCAGGGTTCAATCTCCAGCACCCACATGGCAGCTCACAACTGTCTGTAGCTCCAGTTCCAAGGGATTTGACAACTTCATGCTAATGCACATAAAATAAGAAGAAATAAAATTTATAAAAAAAAATAAAATAAAATAGATAAAAAGAGGCAAAAGCTGTTAGGAAGTGAGTATACGATTATTTGGCCATGGAGAAAGTTCAAGACTCAACAAATTATGTAAAGAAATAATAAATGCAGAGAACTTATTTAGCGTGTGGGCGGCTTTGGGTGTGATTCTCAGTACCAGAAAAAGAAAGAAAGAAAGAAAGAAAGAAAGAAAGAAAGAAAGAAAGAAAGAGAAAGAGAGAGATAAAGAGAAAGAAAACAAAGGAAAAAGATAGAACCTCTCTGAAAACCACACAGCAGTTACTTTTCATTGAAACATAAAGAGCAATAGTGAAATATCAGAATAAAACTGTGTGAAGGCAAGCTTGAACCTGATCCTGGAAAATCCTGTCTCCAGCTGAGGTGTCTGGAGTTCCTGGCTGACATCAGCACCTTCTTTCCCGG